TTCCTGCTGTCTCTACATCCTCTTCCTAGATTGTGTGCCACATGATAAATCAGCTCAGATAACTAGTGCATGCTGAATTTAACTTTGCAAAATGAATGGTTTAACATGATTGGCTTAAAGTGATTGTGAAACTATAGCATTAACTATATGCTATTAAATTGCATGTAAATACCCTTGGTACTAGATTCATGTTGAAATCCTCTCTTCTGTGTATGTGATCATGTATGTGATACTCTCTTATTTTCTCCAGAATACTGTATAATACATATTAATAACAGTACTCTTATATTTTCAGGCAATATACGCTCACTTTTCTGTAGTATTTCCTAATGACTAATTGTCTCCACTTTCTTTACCTTTCATGTTTTCTGGTTATATTTTACTCATCTCAGGAACATTTAGTTTTACAAGCTGCAGAGCGTTCAGAAAGTTTCAAATGTGGCAATCACCGACACTCGCCATGTGAGGCGAGTCAGGGCCGTAAAGGTCTGTGGCTGCGCACAAGCCCCTGACGGCTACTATCAGAGTGGATCTCTTTGGACAAGAGCTTGTGTCAAATAGTAAACGTCTGAAGGTTCCCAAAGACTTTATAGTTATATTGTCTAAAGCCTGCCAGCATAGTGCAAAAGCAAAAGCTTTAAAGCATAAGACTATCCATTAAATATCAAGAAAAATCTTTAAGAAATCTCATTTTCCACCCTTTTAATCTCTTCAAGTAGGGAGAAACTGGAGAACTAATAACAGTACAATATCACAAAGATCAAGTTTTCATAGTCAAAAATACTGTGACTGAAGTCATTGGTGGGGGGGGGCTATTTTTGTTTAACCAAAACCATATTTGTAATATATGAATAGCCGAATTTAAAGACGTTGAAATATGTCATCAGACAATCTAACAATATTTACTTTACTATTGCTAAATAGTAAAAAATCTGAGTCAACTTTAGCTTGAATGATTATCACTTCATTTTCTTTCACAAAATCTGATGCATAATAATCACGTTTAAAATTCAAATATCTCCCAATAGCAGTTCCTGAATTGCTTTGAAGAGTTAACTGTTTAAGTAAAAATGTAGCTTACCTAATTGCCCCAACAATAAATTCTTATACAGACACCAATATAATTACAGAGACTTAGACCATTTGGTACTACAAATTTTCACAAAACTGCATTTTGCATATTTCACTCAAGTTTACAGAAAAGATCAATGCACATTTTCATCTTGAAAGCTCGATATTGTTTCTTCAACTGCATCTAAAAAATAAGAATATTTTTTCTTGACCTATTAAATGCATTTAGATAAATGTATTTCTAAAGTAACAAATCTCTTTTTTGCACTATGTATGGACAATTTATACAGATAGTATATATTAATGCAAGGAGTTAGATATCTAATTCTTTAGTTCATCTGAAAGGTTTGCTTATGGCAAAGAACATGCGTATGGATCAGTACATATTATATATTCTAAAACTGTGCTTCTAAAAGTGTGTTTTCTTACTAACTTTCAGTAAGCAGTGCTGCATTCAATGAATAGCATATTGTGATAACAGGTCTATTTATTACCTATTTTATAAATAAAGGTCACTATTTAAAAATCAGATATACTTTTACCTTTATCCAACTAATGTCTTTTTTCATAACTCATTTCTGCAAATCACTAAATGATTTAGACAGTCTGGACAGGAGTGGTCTAATACTTAAATTGGACAAGATACAGAGCTGATGAATCCAGCTATATTATAGTTAGTAAAACAGTATGGAGTCACACCAACTTCTCACATCAGATGAAAAGTTAGTCTATGTATAATATTATATTTAATATCTAATAATGCATTTATTGCCCTTCTCTTTTATTTTCCTTACATATCCCCAAAACTTTGGGTGGGAAGATGAGGTTTTTCACTTCCTGTACACAAAAAGGTATGTTACTTTCAGAGTTCCTTTTTTACTAGGAGTAATTTGGAAAGATGTAATGATGCTGGACAATCAGAAATGGTAAACGGGTTAAAGATTCACATTTCTTGTGTGTTAGCTGTGCTGTACGCTTTCAGCATGATCAAAACAAACTAGGATGAGTCAAAAAGAATTTGACTCATATTCTTTTGAATATACCAGTTACAGCGGGTGTCAGCTCATACAGTTGATTAAAACACTTGATATCGTTCAATGTTATTTTTAACATTTATATAGTGCCTTACATATTCAAAGCGCTCTGCTGACATAGCCCTATTAGTCCTCACAATGCTTACCCGAGATTTCAGTGTGCTTTTATATCATGGCTCCATTTTAATTACTTTTTAGAGCTACATTAATTATATTTATAATAGGTGATAAAAAGGAATGTTTAGTACCACTGTACATTCTCTTGTATACTACATTTCTTAAACTGTAAAGTATTTTTGGCATATGGGATACTTCAGGTTTAGGCCAGTACTGAACTCTGCTAATGAGGATTTTGGGCTTGTCCTCTCCCAGCACAGCTAAATGCTGACCCGTATCAGTAAGAGAACTTCTGTGCTATTCCTTCACTTGGTTTCATTGCCGTTCTGGTGTCGTTCATTCCTGTGAACAACATACAGTCAATTCTTGATGCTGCACTGTAAATTATGTAAACTCTAGTTTTTCTCCTAAATTTGCTTCTCAGTTTCCAAAGTGTTATGTAAAATGTACTGTTCTTTACTTTTATTTCGTTGTTATATAAACCTGCCTAAGAAAACACTTAGGTGCAAATAAACACTGCAGGTTTATTTGTACATTTATTGCGAATAAAAATTATTTTTGTTAGTCCCAAGATAAATCTTCAGATTTGTAAACTCTTGTATCACTGAAATCTGCATTAATTCAAATACATCATGAAGTGTGTGAGGCAGCTGGGACCTGTCCTACCTGTTGGAGGTTTCTAAACAACGAAGGAAATAAAGTTAGAAAATCATGTCAAGGGACCCTGCAACATTTAATGTTATGTTGTAATGAAAAGCAGCAATTAACATACTGAAAACTGTGCTCCTGAGAAAGCTCCTGAAAGTTAAGTCACTGTAACATAACTAAGTTATATGACTTCCCTGTTGATGTTCTGGTGTACATTGGCATTTCTTGGCAATCCTTTTCTTTTGTTATAAGAGAGCCACTCCTTTTTGTCACCTAGTAACTTTTTAATAGTCAACAGCAACTCAGAATTTCCGAGCTAGAGTTTGATTTTTCAGTGTGTGTGGAATACAGTACGGTTTTACACTCTGTTTAAGCCACAAATAATAAACAGTATAGCCTGAACCAAGGAAAACATCTTGTAGAAGTGTTTTGAGCAGAAGAAAAATTCTAGTATTATATTTTAAAAATAAAATGGAAGTGGCTGACTGTAAGATAACACCTGCTGCAGGCAAATCAGGCCAACTCCTGGAAAAGATCTGGAATATGAACTTGCTAGTGAGAGATGTGCTTCTGAAGAGTGATCTGGATAATGAAGGCATGCCAGAGTATGTGCTTAGACTGATCTCAGTAACAAAAGAGCTGAGCAGATCTCTCAGCCAGCAGCTGGAGAACATTGCAGAAAGTCTTCAAGATATCTGCCACTTACTGAATGCTCTCCAAGGCAAACACAAGAAACTGATTTCAAGTCAAGGCAAGTATGGAGGGACTTAACCGTAAAGAGAATGTGGTGGATATATTGGATGCTAAATTCTGCTTTCTGATGATGCTATGGAACCTTACTTTTCTTTTGGTAGTCTTTCAAATTTGGTAACCCATTAGAGCATATTTCAACAGTTGTATCACTGTTTCTGAGCCTTTTCAATATATTTAAAATATATATTTTACATATACATATATATGTATGTATGTATGTATGTATGGAAAGAGAGAGCGTATCCTTCTCCTATAATGAGCTAAACTGCTTTCAAAGTTTTGTTATGCATATTGTAGTCTATAGTTATCTAAAATAGCTTAGATAGTTAAAAAACTAGCAATAAAAGTAGGAAGAGGCCACCTGCCTCTAGCTTCACTTCAAGCTGCCTCTGCAGAATAGACTCTTGTCTACTTCAAGCCTACTCAACCATCCAAATATATATACATGTCCAAAATACAATTACGGTAGAATTCAGCCATCTTAGCGTACAGGTAAACACGTGAAATTTAATTGCTTACATTTAAATTTTAAAATGTTTCACTATATTATTTATTATGAGGACCATGAAAACGTACAGGTTCATTTTGCAAAGAATGAAACAAATGTCTTGCCTCAGAAACACTATCTTAACAAATATTCAGCAAACTAGGAAAGAAAAATAGCATTTTTGCATTTTGTCTTACAGCATGTTGACCAAGAAAGATTCTTGACAAAATCTTCAGGTAAACCCACACTTAGAAGCCTTTGTTCTACTCATTTGTAAGATATCCACAATAAAAGAACATTTTTGTGAGAAAGGACTTGCTTGCAGACTCCAAGATAAAGCTAACATTGGTCTGTTGGCTTCATGCTCTATACAGGCTCTTTTCAGGTTTTGCAGAATTCACCATCGTTCTCCAAAAAGCGATTTTTCCTCAATCTCTTTATCTCCTACAAACTAGTTAGTCAGCGAAATAGTTTGAAGACACTTGCATATGGACTGCCATTGTATTCTCCAAACTGTGTCATCACACATCAGAAAAGCATGGAAAGCAAAGCGTTAAGGAAGATTTTTTCTGTGCTGTTTTGTTTTGAAGCCTAAAGGGACATTTATTTCAAGGTTAACATTGTGACAGAATGGAAAACATATCTGCATACAACACTTCTAAGTAGTCTAAAGTTACAGGGCAAAGACTTTGTTTGGCTTTAAGCACTTCAGTATTGGAAAAGTTCACAGTGTAGGCAAATTCTGTTATTCAGAATGACTCGAGAATGTTATCTACAAATGTGAATTTAGGAACATTTAAAGAGTAGCAGGAAAATTTTTCTTATTGCTAAAGAACTTAAAGTTCATGTACGAAACAGGATAATTTTGGCATTTTGCACTGACGCACATTCAGAGTAATTCTAATGAGGCCAAGGAAGCTTTGCGTTAGTAACACTGGGAAACGGTCTCTTACAACTACTTATGCAAGCTTGTGTCGGCTATGCCATTTCTGATCTTTTTGCTTTACTTCTTAGCCCTGTTAAACCACTTGGACTTTCTTTTTCATTATTGTAAAACTGTCCTTGAAACCTTTTTTCTTTGCTCAAATAGTGAAAAAACATACTCAAATTTGTTTTTCAAATGTAGTCATAATCCAACAACAAGTGGCTTGGGAACTAAAAAAAGATTGCAAAGGAATAATTTCTAGCCTGAATTCGACAATAAAAAACCCTTATCTGACAATGTACTCTTTGGAGGTTAAAATTAAGCATCTGAAAATAGAGATGAAAGTGAAAGGCTATCTAAACCATGTAACAGCATACCAATCACATTCTTATACAATTATTTTCAAAGTTGAAATCATTGAGATATTAGTTTATCTCATGACTTTATTGAATAAAGTGAATGTGAGTCAGTGGTTTCCCTAAAGACTTGAAACAACCCTATTTGTTGTCCTTCCCTTCTCTGTTTCTTTCTGTTATAAGTGGACAGAACACCATACTGTGTTTTCTCTGTACGATTTTCTTATTTGTATTGATTTTCACAGGATTTAACCTGCAAAGTCAAGTCTGTCAGAATCTCATACAGCAAACACAAATAAGCAAGAAATTATCCCAGAGATTATTAATATACCTAACTAATGAAGACACAGTTCCAGCTATAAAGAGATTGATAGCATATAATGATGAGAGCACTGAAAGTACACATATTAAATCCTTGGAGAGAATATTTCTGCAAATATTTCTAAGAGAAGGTGCAAGATAAGGCAAACAAGGGATCATAAAACAATGAACTTATAATAAAGATAAAATAGTATATGAATGACAATTAATCTGTGCTTTTTATGCATGCTTCTTCATCAGGTGTTTTCTTTAGAAGCAAGAGAAACCTCCACCATTCCCATAACTGGATGCTGCAAAATGTTGAACTTCAGTTTCATATATGTGCTGATGTTTTTGCACTACCCTCTGTTCTCCATAGCAAAAATTCAAAGCTGCTAAGCATGTTTAATATTGAGCCCATGTATAACAACTTTGCCGGAGAATCACATATTAGAAACTTGCAGGATTAAGTTTTAGGAAATATAGGTAATTAAGGTTTAGTTTTCAAGCTGTTTGCAAGTTGACTAGAATATTATTTATCAATTCCCTGTTTTTGATCGATTATTATTAAGAACTTGGCTAGTGTCTGATCATTAGAATGGGCTTAGAATCATTAGAATGATTACAACTGTCACAGTAGCCAAGTTGTACTTGGCAGTATACGATTGCTGGGAAATTCCCTCAGACTGAATAAAAATAATTGCACAAATATGGAAGCCAAATTGCATTATTGCATAAATGGAAGCCAAAAAATACATTATGCTTATGTATTGCATGGCACTGCTGAGTTAGGTGGAAGTCTCTGTGCATGTGTACAAAAGTTTTCACGTTTTTGTTAGTTTTCATAGCAAAATTCAATTGGTTACATACTTTTTTTCCTCAGAGTGCAATGGAATTATAGATTATCTGCTGAAAGTGAAGGATTATTTGATAAATACAGTCTCATACCTTCAAGAGGCAGAAAAAAAACTTTATGCTGCTAGCTGCAAACACGACGACAAATCTCAGAACCAGATGGCTCAAAATGCTTCTAGAGAAATGGATGTGTATTGTTCTGAAGGAGAAGGACCAGAATCTGTGCAAGCATCTTCTAGTCTCAGTCAGCCATCCCAAATTACTCCTTCCCTGAACAAAAGGAAAGGTCAGAATGTTAATCAAATCCAGCCAAATGAAACTAAAGCTGTGGAAAAAGAAATAGTTGAATCGTTACCTGAAAATGTATCTGCTCAAGAACAAGATATTAGTAGAGAACCTCCAGCGAAAAAGGAAGACGACAAACACAGACTGCTGATGAAACCTATGACAGAGAAAAAGGATTGTAATAGAAAAGATAAAGCTCATGGAGATGGCTCTTTTACTAATAAGTCCCCAGAACTGGTTTTTCAAGATGTTCTTAGTGGCAATGGAGAAGGCATTCTTTCTGGGACGTTAAAAGATACTTATTATAGCACTGTTATGAAACTTCCTGAGCAGGAAAAAATGATAGCAGTCAAAGACCCTTCGAAAAGGGTGGAAAATGAGGCACACAGACTGACAGAGAAAATGGAAGGCAGTAACATGGGAACAGATTATGAGATTTGTAGGAATAACCCAATTACTTTCACATCTTTTGCACAAATATGTGATTTAACTGCCGTGAGTACTTCTATGAATGATTCGGAAGACCTGCAAAAGTCTAGGCACTGGATGAACAAAGCAGAAGCA